AGCTTAGATAGCCACCATGACATTGCCTACAAGTGTGATTGGGGATTTCTGTCGGAGAAGCAGTTTTAACCTATTTTCATACTGTACTGTCTTTGGCTATACTGTCAAGGTAACATTGTAAACACTACCATGTGAATACCCACTATGCCCGTGAAATAGGAAGCGATGTGAACATATTATGCTTACTGAATAGATAAAGTGACACCCATTCAGACCAGCCTTAATGATTGAACTTTCATAAACTACATTTCAATCGAGTACAGGCTTAACTCAATGGACAACAAAGACAGAATGCAATATGGAATTTGTATTGAAATAGATTGGTTGTAGGCCTCGTCCCTGAGGAAATGCTCCTTTGAGCTAGATGTGGATGACAGATAACCCCTTAGCGTGGCAGCTGGAATCGAAAACCAGCTAAAATAAATGAATTATTCACCAGGAAGTAGGGATACAGCAGAGCAAAGGTTGGCTCTAAAGATTGAAGACAAGGTAATTAGATATCAAAGATATGCATGCAAAGTATAGAACAGAAGTGCAATTCTGCTGTCATGGAAAGTATGAAATGTTTACTCATGCAAGGGGCGCTGAGCGCAGGATTAAAAACAGCGTATTATGTATTTAGTTGAAATAAAACATCTGCAAGTACATCTACCCAACAACGTATTCCACAATGCGAAAAGTATGATTAACATGAAACGCTTGCTGAGCGTTGAACCCAATAGTGCATGCCGAAATACGGGAATAGGGGTACTTGCAAAAAGTCCCAGCCCAATGCTAGCCTGCTGTGTGCTAGTACTGTAACGTATGAAATGTATGATTATGAAATAACCATGAAAACGACTGGAAGCGTGTTTGAGAATGGGTACTCGCAAGATTGAGGTACTGTAGCTATGGGTAGCTAGATTTGAGGGATCATTGGGCTGCGAGGATGGCCGATTTATTTGGCCTGACGTATGACGTGTAGGCGGAGAATGACCACTGTTTAGCGGACCCCCATAGTGCCGCTATCATTGGATTGTTTAGAACAGCAGCATTTCCGAGTGCGTAGGCGGTGGCACCGGAACCTTGCTGGTTGCTGGGCAGAGGCGAGGGAACTCCTGGAAACGGAAAAGATTATGAATGACAGATTGCCATGTAAGCGCCTAAGAAGGGGCATGATTACATTGGCTGATGAGCGTCCTTTATTAATTATATCAACTGCGGCTTCATTATCACAGTGAACAGTTATACGTTTCCCTTGCCATACATGGCCCCACATAGCCCAAGCTGCAACGATGGGGTAGACTTTGATTCTTTGTGATCTAATTCTGAAAGCTTGCGTGGCTATCTACCTGCAAACCACTGACCATGAAAATACCCCCCAAACCCCACAGATAGGGCACTGTCCATGAAGAACGAGGGCATTCGAGATGCCGTTCCAGCTAATAAGCAAAATAGACCAAAACCGGAGGTCTGAACTGCAGCCCTCATCCAAGATTACTGGGTCTGAGAGAACCTGGGCTGAGGAAGCTAGCGTTAGGAGCCATGATATAAAGGCCCGCCCTTGAGGGATGAGCCGCATCGCAAAGATAAGGTGTCCAGTAGAGACAATAAGTTGCATTTAGTGATGGGTTGCCCATCAGTGAAGGACTACACTGATTCTCAGGTCCGTAACAGTTTATCTAGGGGGAGGGACGTGCACATCTTGATGCTGTCTAGAATTATGCCTAGGAACTCGAGAGAGGTTAGGGGGCCGACAGTTTTCTCCTCTGACAGAGGGATGCCTGGAGCTTTGAATTTGTACTGAGATAGCATGGCCTGAATTGTCGGGAGGGAAATTGATAACAAGAAAATCGTTTAGAAGATGCAACCCAAAAGGCAAATGGCAGTTATTTAACAAGATCCAACACAAGGCTTCTGACAGAGAATTTAAAATATGGGGGCTACTCCTGCACCCGAAGGAGAGCCTGACAGCTAAATAATACTGCGATTCCCACGTGACACGAAACATTGGCCATTGTGAGGGGTGGAGTGGCATGATTCTGAAAGCATCTGTGATGTCTGCTTTGGATAACTGGGAGCCCGTGCCTGCCAGCATTATGAGCTTAATAGCATGATCCACAGTAGCATAATACAGAGAAAAAGCTCTCATTAACGCTGGCTATCGGACCGGAGCAGGGCGCTAATGTTTCCTCCCCGATTATCGACACGTGGCCACGCCTATTGGATTGGTTCTGAACGTAAAGAAAGGAGGGGAAACAAAGGGGCCAATTAAGGAATTGATCTCCTTATCCAACAATTGCTGCACTACCGCTGGCTCATTGAGAGCGGACTGGAGATTCTGAACTTTGTGACAATCTGTCAGAGGGTTGAGAACCCCCACCTTAAAGCCCTGGGAAAGACCCGTGACCAAGTAATCTACAAAGTGGGTGCCAGGATGGTACGACAGTTGTGGGCCAGGGCTTGGATGTTGACTGGAGTGGATGTTTCTTTAGAATTTCTTTGAACCATTCCCCTTCCAGGTGGCCTTCAGAAACTTCACCTGGCGTCCCTGGCGGTCAGTGAAGGGGGCAGGGGAGGATTTTGCTTGCTCAGACTTGACAATGAAACCTCTGCAGGCTTAACTCTGAAAGCAGATTTTGGGCACATCTCGGGGGCCTGCTGGCCACAATCTGAGCAGGTTAGGGCCCTAGCATGCAGCACCACTAACTCCGTGTCGAGGTCAGACCAGTCGATAACCTTGTTGAATGTAGCTAGATGAAGGGCAGCTTTAGCGGAGAAAGCACAGTGGTACCTATAGAAAAAAATGCCCCCATACTTAATGCTAAGGTCGCAAATCTAAGAGATGTAACTATGTAGCTCCCTGCACCTGAGGAGAAACATGGAGCAGATAATATCGCAGCAAATGCTAAATGCTACCACGAACTTTGAGATGGAGAGGTTATGCTGTAGCCTGGGATCAGACATCTTAAAGACAGCTGTGACATCTCCGCAAGCCACAACCCTCAGGTCACACTCTGGGGAGGGCAGCAGGAGGCTGACGAGGTTGACGTCTTTCCCTTGGAGCATGGTGTTCCTCAGCCGGGGAGACACATAGGCTGCGGAGGACACATAGGGTCTACCATTGCGTGCCGCCGTTGTAGCCAAGGCCAGGGTAAACATGGGCACTCCAGGGTAGGACATCTCAGAAATGGCCGCAGGAACCCCAACTGCTTCTGGGGCAGTGCAGTGAGGCTGGAACCGATACCGGAAGCGGAGCTACCTCCTTCGATCACTTCGAGTCATGCCTCAATAGAGTCCATGGTGCCGAGGGCACTGGGTCGTTGTTTACGGTGGCAGCAAGAGGGGCCCTGTTGAAGGTAGCCTCAGCGGCGGGGTGGGGAGCGGCGGAAAAAGGACCAGCACTTCTGCCCTCATATCTTGGAATTTTCCCCTTCGCTGATGAAGCCAAATTCTGGAGTCTTTTGTTGCCTCTGGGTGAACCAATCTCTTCTCCTGAGAAAGGGATGCCATCATCTGGGAGTTGCAGAGAAGAGCCGAGCACATTCGTAGCCAGTTGGAGGAGCTCATGGCTGGACATGCCTTCTCCCACTGTGATACCCTTATCGGACAGAATTCCCAGAAGTTGGCGTTTCTCTCACTCCTTCTCGGGAAAATCCTGGTTGTAGAGGAATCACCTGGATTGCCTGGGCGTGGGTGTAGATTGATCGTTGGAACAAAGGACGTATCCTCTCCCTCAGGGGAGATTTCGCCATCTGACATAACTTCCGACACGGAAAGCACTGACCATCATTTGGAAGAGCACTAGTGAACCCATATTATGCTTACTGAATAAATATACAAGTGACACCCATTCAGACCAGCCTTACTGACTGAACTTTCGTAAACTATATTTAATTTTTTCCCCGTATGGGATCACAATACTTGAAATTCTGCATTGCACTGAAAGTGTTTTTTTGACCAGCTTTTTAACCTGGGGGATGGGGGGGGGGGGGGTCAATTATTAGGCTTCCGTGGTAAAATAGAGGTATATTTGAACTTTCATTGATTATTTGCTACTTTATTTTGGCCCTTCGTTGTCCACTTTTAGTGTGTGTTAACACTTCCCCTGAAATCTTATTCATTCTCTTTCTTTCATTAGAGAAATGCTTGGTCACCCTCTTATTCATAAGCCAGGTGTGAGTCCCAAATGGCACACTATTCCCTATATAGTGCACTACCCTGGCCAGAAGTAATGCACTATTATATAGGGAATAGGGTGCCATTTGTAGAGAAAAGCAGTATTCTCCTCACGGATGTTTCTCTTTATGTGTTTCCCTCCAACAGGACACTGTGTACAGACGCTCTTGGCCACATGCAATGCGGGCAGCGAATACAGAGGCATTGAGGGCATGCTAAGGGGTATTTTGCAAATGACACCCTATTCCCTATATAGTGCACTACTCTTGACCATGGCCCACACAAAAATAGTACACTTCATATGAAATAGGGGTGTCATTTGGGATGCAAACAAAAAGAGAGGGGGATTAACAGCAAGATGCCCAAAAGAACAGGTGGCCATCTTGAAAGCAATTGATATAGCATACATGATTTAGTGCAATTGACAACTAGAAAACTTGCCCCCTTCCAAAACGATTGGAAACAATTCAGTATAGAATTAATGTATTCCTATTTGTTAAAGATGACCAAGGGGTTAATAAGCACATTGGCACTGCAGATAATGCGTCTGCAAAGACAGGTAAACGACCAAGCTGCAACACTTCAAACCACCACAGCAAGATTCGGACTAGCTCTGGTCCAGTGCGTTACGTGCGGCTTGCCGATGAGTCTTAAGCATCAGCAATACGCACGTAACACCCTGGACCAGAGCCAGCATCGGACATGCTCGGTAGGATAGGCCTATTGACAAAGTGCTGCCAATTACAACAATTACATGGACAGTCGTGAGAGCGAGAGAGAGCGAGAGAGAGAGAGAGAGAGAGATCAACTGACCACTTATAAACCCAACACAAATCTTGTCACAAATCTAAGGCTTGGTTCAAGAGAAGAGCCTGACCTATCAATGATAGTTTTGTATGTTGTATATTTTAAAGAAGGTGTAGGATATCTATTTCTAGTTGACAATCTTACTGTAGTTTATTCCAATACACCGTCCAAGTTGGATTGCAATGACTGGGTAGCATGAGCATGCGTATGATAACAATGCCGACATGTGCACAAGACAAATGTCAAGGAGTCTTATGGTTTAATACTAGAAGAACTTTGCCTTCTTCTGCTGCACGTTTCAATTAGTTTTTAAACACAGCTTGCAAGACACATCAAGTTAAGGTAAGTTATACTTTTTGGGGGCAAATAAGTATCAATTCAGATAAAGATATAAATGTATTTTGCAGATTGGCCTTTCAATTAGGCCTACTCTCCAAATAAAGATTGGGAAATAATAATTTATAATCAATTTCAGTATTACTAGCTGTGCTTGATGACGTGGGACACATAAAAAATTAAAAATAACTTTTGCGGTTAAATTCCCATGTACCGAATAAAAAATACAAGAAAATGGGTTTCCATCGCATTTTCAACTCTACTGATCGTTTTGTCACAAAAAAAGTGCTGTTTGTGTTTGTCTTTGCACTGGCCAAACAGCACGCAGATACAGTGCGGGTGCCTACCAACAAGATGAGATTATTATGGACAAAAGAGCCAAGTCAAACGGCAGTCAAGCATCGATCATCATGTCACCAGAATAAGACCCATAGCCGTGGGAAGTAGGGGTGCAACCCTTACAAATAAAAAAAGGAAAATATATATGTTAATAAAAAAATATTCACAAAAGTAGTGCATCGGGCCTTTACTAGTCCTGAATATAGCTGTCTTTAGTGCGGGCAAAAACAATGCTATCAGATGAAAATTATATTTATTAGTTAATTGTTCAAGGTTGCATAAGGACTTAGATCAGAGTAGCCTACATTAATACCTCAATAAATATGAAGAGAATATATATCATTTACATAATCAATTTCTCTAGTTTTCATTGACTACCTTTTCATCTCCCCTTTATGTATTAATAACTTCTAATTTGTCTGTTTTCGTGAGGCGTCAGTGGGAGGGTTTTGCAGTTGATGAGTGACATATGACTGTTGATCAAAGGTCATGACCCTATAACATCCTAAAAGGTGTTTATTTCAGATGTTTGTTAATGGTCAAATACACATCAACCTAATGCCTATCATTAACAAAATAACCCACAGACTAAAGTACTCTTATTTGGAGGTGATACATGACAATTGGTGTGTGCCAGATAGTTTACCAAAGAGTAGGCTAATAAGGGAATCAAATGTTCACCACAGGTTCGGGGATTCCTGCACCATGTTACATGTCAACTGCATGGGTTGGGCTCAGTTCAAATCAAATTTACATTTACATTTACGTCATTTAGCAGATCAAGAAGTAAACTGAATTTAAGTTTTTGTGAAAATGCATCTATTTTCAATGATCCCTGAGTTAACCAAAACAACTAATTAACTCTGAAATATTTTGTCTCTCAGAGTTCCACATCTCACAATTAGACTGAACATGTCGCTACCCTCTATAACCAATATTTTATTCCAGTATTGGTATATAGGAAGTAGCTGGTAGTAAGATCAGGGGAGAGCAATAGGGGAACTGAGGACAGTCACTGTAGATTCAGAGGTGGTGAACTGTGGTCAGTGGTAGTGGTAGGCACATGGATTTTTCAAAATATATTTTTTACATTTGATTTGATTTATTGGACAATATCAACTTCAATTCAACCAAAAGTGTGGGTACAGTGTATTTATTTCCATTGTGGTCCTGGAGCAGAGAGTGGAACCTGAGGGGTTGTGGAGCTCAATGGTTTGGCCATCAGTTTGGTCTACTTAGCAATTATTTTCATTATGCAGAGGTTGTTGATTCTGCTCTTCACAAGTCCTCAGTGTCAGCCCTAGCTATGGAAACACAATTTCCCTAGCATAACTTCAGGGTGAATTCACCAGTGTAAGACCTGTGTCACAGTCGAAAAGCAGCTTTAGTGTGGTCTGGAGAAAATAGTGTTAGTCAATAATAACAGTAGCTAGCGATGAGAGGAGCAGCTGTAAGTTAGAGCTGTATGGAACTATTCCGTATGGATCTGGAAGTAATGATCTTTCTATGCCATGCAACAACTTCAGTACACAATGAACCACGTTTGGTGTGTGTGTGAGAGAGAGATAGAGAGGGAGGGAGACAGAGTGAGCGATAAAGAACGAGAGCAGGGGAGAGGAAGAGAGGGAAAGAGAGAGATAGGGGTTAAAAGGGAGAACGAGAATGGGCGCAACAGTGGGGGTAATAGTGTGTTTCAGTATCTACTTGTGGGGGATTACTCTACACTCCGGAATATTAACGAGGGCCTTTTGTCACAGATCTCTTTCTCTCTTTTCCTTTCACACACCAGGCACACACAAACAAACACACACAGGCACACACACACACACACACACTGTCGTTTTTTGTCAATGGTGTCTTTTGTTCCTTTCATCTCTGACCCAAACAAAGCATTCCTGTGTACACAGGAAAGAGAGGAGAGATAGCAAGGGAGAGAGCGAGAGCGAGAGAAAGGGAGAGAGAGCGAGAGGGAGAGAGAGAGAGCTAGAGGGAGAGAGACGGAGCAGGAGAGGGAAAGGAGAGGGAGATCGGGAAAACATGCAACACGCCTTTGTAGTTTAGAGGGAGAAGTTTTGATTCAGTTGATCATTCTGATATTACAGTAAAAATACCATTGTACAAAAGTAGATGTGTTGTCATGGAGATGGAATACATCCTATTGGAAAGGTATTGGTTGGTTACGTTTACGCTTCTTCTTTCGCTAAAGTTTTTATTAATAAGATGTTATCTTCTTGGTTTGTGTACAAGTTGTAGGCCTAGAGGCTGCACATTCAGAAAAAAAGGGAGGATGAGAAAGAAAGAGCGTGTGTGGGAGAGAGGGAGAGAGTGAAGAAGGGGGACACGGTGAACGTTTTCAATACTGTCATTGTAATTATGAAAGAGTTGCATAACCAGAGATGTGTAATGAACAGTAATTACTTACGTAAAACTCTGCATTGTAGAGGAGCTATTTCGGTGTTTACTTTTTACGTCACTTAGTTGGAATTTCGTTTGTGTGTTGTGTCTTGTGTGTCAATGTGATTGTCAAAGGTCTCATTACTATACTCCTGCCGTAGACTACAGTCCCTGCCTGGTTACATCAATGACATACGTTTGGGGGAATACTGTGTGTGTGTGTGTGTGTGTGTGTGTGTGTGTGTGTGTGTGTGTGAAAGACCAGCATGAGTGAAGAAGGGAAGGGCTATAAAAGCCTCCTTCAATTTAACATCTGTAAAACCCTGATGAAGGCTACGCTACGGGCCAAATGGTAATGGTTTTAACAATAAAGAAGCATTTATATCATCCACTGTCCTCTAGGAGTTGGTGAATTCCCCTTTTAATTCAAGAAGGGACAGCTTGAAAGGTGTAGGGCAACCAGAAAGGGAATGTTGGCCTTTTTCCTTGCTAACTCTTATCACCATATCCTGTTTCTAGACAGAAGTTCACTCTTTGTCCACTAAAGGTCCCTCTAGTTGGAATCAACAGTACAGTCCCGTCTTTTTTTTAACTTAATCTAGATAAACTCAGTGTTTTTAACAGAGAATTGGCCTTAATTAAATCGGTCCAGTTTCCCTTTTCGTCCGGCTCACAAAGTGAGTGCCTGTATCTATTGTCTGTTTAGATGCAGTAATGTAAATCTGGTCATCCTAATTCTACACCTCCTTCTTCTCATTCTCATTCCCCTTTCCCTTATCAAATTCTTTTATCTCTCATCTCTGTCTCTCCCACTTCTCTTTGCCATGTTCAACTTTGGTCTACGTGCTTTGTGGAAGTAAGTGAGAGAATGTCATTAGCTTGGTTTCCATCCAATTGGTGACAGATTTTCATGCGAATATTCTAAAATATGCATAAATAAAATATGCAAATTGTCCCACCAGAGATGTGTTTCCATCAAATTGACTTGTTGTGAATAAAAGTCTGTGCGTGATGAAATAGCGCACATAAAAATAACTTTTGCAGTTAAATTCCCGTGAATTAAAAATGCATAATAATAAAACATACAAGTTAAATGGGTTTCCATCGCATATTGAATGGTTTTGTCACAAACCAATTTGTGTTATATAGCAAATGTGCCCACTTTGGTATTGGTTCATGCACTCTAGCTAACAGCTCGCAGATACAGTATGAATATAGCCTACATGATGAGATTATTATGGACAAAAGTGCAAGAATATGTTTATTTGTCAAACGGCAGCTAAGCATTGATTATCATGTCACCAGAATAAGACCCTCGATATTTATTGGAAAGGAGTATCAAGCTCATCACCTTGCACTTTCACCACCCTGTGAAGTTCATCATCAATAATTTATTCCCGAGTTGTAGTGGGAGGACCACACACCATATCATCGCGTGACTCAAAGTTTACTTCGATATGATGATGGTTATTATATAAATATATGCGCATAAAACCATTTCCACCACCATTTCTCGAACAATTAATTTTACCGACACAAAAAGATCCCACCATGTCTAACTAATTATGTTGGCATTTTATAAAATTGTACGGAAACTGTCGTGAGTAAAAAAAAAATATGGTATGACTTTACTCGCATAAAAACTGTGGATGGAAACGTTGTTAATGTGTAGGACTGTTTTTGTCCCAAATGACACTATATTCCCTATATAGTGTACTACTTTTGACAAGAGCTCATAGGGCCCTGGTCAAAATTAGTGAGGGAATACTGTACCATTTGGGACATTACGTGTGGAATCTGCGTTCATACAGCATGTGCTTGTTTAGTCCCTCTTCGTGTTGTGTTTGTAAGTGTCTTTGTCTGTTTTGCAATCTTCCAGCAAAATATGCATATTTTTTAAAAACTCAACACAGAAACGTGAGTTGCATCTCAAATGGCAACCTATTCCCTATAGGCTATAGTGAAGTACTTTCGACCAGTAATGCGCTATATAGGGAATAGGGTGCCATTTTGAGACTCAACTCTCACAACCGGTTTTGATGTTTGTCCATCAAAGCTCGAGTAACTTTCTAAATGTTAATTAATTGCAATGCTCTTTTGTTGCTCTTGTGTGGTTTGAGAATATAATATAATTTTAATAGCACTGGTTAACTGGTTAACATCTGTACTACAGTATGCCAAAACTTTATCCACAGTTATTATTTCATGCCCTGTTACTGTGACAACGACGTCACCTAATCCATCTCTAATTCCTTCCTGTTGCATTGACAGATGACATCTGCCACACCCCCTTCCTCCCGAAGCTGCTCCTCTCAGAAGGTGTGTCACTCTCAGACGCAGACAGACGTTCTAAAGCCCCTATTGGGCGGCGGGGGCTCCGGCGGGGGCGGGACCTTGAGGAGGCGGAGGCGTGTTCTGTCTAAGGATGGGCGGAGTAACGTACGCATCGAGCACATCAGCGGGCGGTCGGCCCTGTACATGCGTGACCTCTGGACGACATTCCTGGATATGCAGTGGCGATGGAAGTTCTTTCTCTTCACCCTTACCTTCACAGGGACGTGGTTCCTGTTCGGGGTTCTGTGGTACCTGGTGGCATTAGTGCATGGAGATCTGCTGGGTGAGAGAGTGGAGAGAATAGAGAATAATACAGTACAATTCGCTGTCCCACTGTTGTTTTAGATCAGTACAACTAAACAAAACCACCAACTAGGTTTTGTGTAACGTGCATTGGCACCTTACTCCCTATTTGGTTAGTGCACGACTTCTAACCAGAGCCCCTTTCCCAATCTCTCCTCTCACTCTCTGGCCTTTTCTCGTTTGGGCAAAAGTCCATCCTCTGTCTTCTCTCCTCTATGACCCGGAAACCAATAAGTGCTCGAGGAGTGTGTCAATTTGTTAGTAGGCAAAGTGAAGATGGTCCTCCCGTCCTCGATAGCCTCCTAAGTGGCGAGGAAGCACACCCCCTTTGAATCAGCTCTTGTATTGTCGAAGGAGAAAAGCATGCACACATTTAAAAACGATATGCTACTTATCCTTATATTTACAAAATGTCTTGCACAACTAACGTAATTTGTTTTTATCACTTTACACATGTATTTTGGGATCCACACTTGTAAACGACGCGAGAGTGGAGAAGGAGCTTCTCATTTCATACAAGCGCATTTTCGGCCACGTTCACTCTCCGCCTCTCTCCTCTTCGATTACCTTTGACCTTTTTCAAAAGGAGGCCAGAGAGGACGGAGAGAGGATGCAGGAGTTGAACAAATCTAATTCAGAAAAGGCCTCTGTCCTCTCTCTCTTTCTTCCTCTCAATCTCCCTTTGCTCGCTCTCTCGTCTCCCTCACTCTTTCCCTCTCCTCTCTTTCTCTGTCTTCTCCCCTCTCTCCTCTCTCTCCCTCTCCTTATCTCTCTCTCCCCCTCTCTCTCCTCTCTCTTTCTCACTTTCTCTCCTCTCTCTGTCTCCCTCACGCTCCTGTGCCCTCTCAGAGTTCGACCCGCCGTCGAACCACACCCCATGTGTGCTGCAGATGCAGACGCTGACTGGGGCATTCCTGTTCTCGCTGGAGTCCCAGACCACCATTGGCTACGGCTTCCGTTGCATCACAGAGGAATGTCCGGCTGCCATCATCCTCCTGATCCTGCAACTCGTCATCACCATGGTACTGGAGATCTTCATCACCGGAACCTTCCTCGCCAAGGTACAGTATGGCTCACTGAGCACTGCACTTGAGGACAAATCACACCGTGCCGATGAACGGTTGAAAGCAGCAGGTGGCCGTCCTGTCGCCTCTGAACAGAACATTGCCGTCATGCTCTGTTCTTTTCCCGACTACTCTACATTTTGAATTGCCACCATTCATGGACACCCAACATGTGATTTTGTGGCCACCCGCTGCTTTCAGCCGTTCGTTGGCATGGTATGTTTTGTCCGTCATACCTTCTTACATCACTTGGGTCATCATCACTATATGAAATCTCTGATACACACATTGTTGCGGTCAGTTGAATTGCTCATTATCTTCTATGTGTACTTCAATTGTTGAATGTTTCCTGAATTGACTGAATTGAAATGGAATTGATGCCAAACCTGAACACAGACAGATAAATCAATAAAAATGTTGCCCTCAAAAATATATACTATAAAAAAGATTGAAAAATAGCATAAGCATGTTTACTTATTTATTTTTGAGGGCAAATCATACTCAAATGAACTTTTTGTTATTGTTGATGTCGTTTACATTATTGTTATAGACGTTTTTATTCTAATACCCGTTATTTTTGTATAATACTCTTCTTATTTTATTCTATTGAATGAAAAGTTGATGCCAAACCTGAACTCAAGATACAGTATCTGACTTAAGAGTCTCCTTTACTGCTTTCCTCAGGTGGCTCGGCCAAAGAAGCGAGGTGAGACGGTGAAGTTTAGCCAGCACGCCGTGGTGTCCAGTCACGAAGGCCGACCCTGCCTCATGATCCGAGTGGCCAACATGCGGAAGAGCCTGCTGCTGGGGTGCCAGGTAAATGCTCAACTGTGTGTGTGTGTGTGTGTTCAACAGCAAGTGTAAAGTACACTGAACAAAAATATTAATGCAACATGCAATAATTTTTTTAATGTTACTGAGTTACAGTTCATATAAGGAAATCAGTCAATTGAAATAAATTCATTTGGCCCTAATCAATGGATTTCACATGACTGGGAATACAGATATGCATCTGTTGGTCACAGATACCTTAAAGAAAAGGTAGGGGCGTGGATCAGAAAACCAGTCAGTATCTCGTAACCACCATTTGCCTCATGCGGCACGACACATCTCCTTCCCATAGAGTTGATTAAGCTGTTGATTGTGGCCTGTGGAATGTTGTCCGTCCTCTTCAATGGCTGTGCGACGTTGCTGGATACTGCCAGGAACTGGAACACGCTGTCGTACCCGTAAAACTGCACATTTTAGAGTGGCCTTTTATTGTCCCCAGCACAAGGTGCACCTGTGTAATGATCATGCTGTTTAATCAGCTTCTTGCTATGCCACACCTGTCAGGTGGATGGATTATCTTGGCAAAGGATCCATCCCAATTTGTTGTCTCTTTCACAACCTGTCTGAATAATGGAGAGTGGAACCCCTCTAAAACCAAACGTGACCCCCTAGGGCAGGGGTTTTCTAACTTTTTAATGTCAAGGACCCACAAATATTATGAGCCCCTGGGTGAGGACCCCTACAACAACAAAGAAACACTTTGCCATGAGGCTGAGAGAAAATTGTGCAGTTTTAAAGCAAATTACCTGCTATTCTAAACATATATGCTATCTGACCAGGGCCTGCTACAGCCTTTTGGGCCCCTAAGTAAGTTTTGTTTGGGGGCCTCCCCACCCGCCTCCGGAAATAATAATAATATTAGTTGGGGGCCCCCTGGAGGTCAGGGCCCCAGGGCAGAGTGAGACAGGGAAATGCAAAGGCTATTTGTATACTGATGGAAAAATATGATTGCCATTGGGGGTGGATAGGAAAGACATGAAGATTGATCAAGATTTTACCAAACACATGTTCTGTAGGTATTATAATACCAATATTTAATTAAGTGAAAAAAAATAATTGCTTTTTGTTTATTTATAAACATTTTCCACGAACCCCCTGGCATCCCCTTGTGGAACCCCGGGGGTCCGTGGACCTCAGTTTGAAAACACCTGCCCTAGGGATTGTGTGCGCCCCCCAGGTGACGGGGAAGCTGCTGCAGACGTCTCATACCAAGGAGGGGGAGACGGTGCGTCTGGACCAGAGGAACGTTCCCTTCCAGGTGGACACGTCCAGCGACAGCCCCTTCCTCATCCTCCCCCTCACCTTTTACCACATCATAGACGACAGCAGCCCGCTTAGGGCCTGGGCTGCCAAGGGTACGCCTGGTTATTACTGTGGGAATGGATCTGTGTGTGCATCCCAAATGGCACCCTATACCCTATATAGTGCACTACTTTTGACCAGGGCCCTATTGACCAGTGCACTGTATAGGAAATAGAGTGCCATTTGGGACAAGCCTAGAAGTGCGGGAATGGATCTGTGTGTGTTTGTCAGGGCCTTTAATTTTATCTTGTGGTTCTCCTCTCCTCCTACTCCTCGCTCTCTCTTCCTCGCTCTCTCTATCTCTAAGGCTAATCTCTCTATCGATCTCTATATATCTCTCGTAATTCTATATCTCTCTCTATCATATCGCTCTCTATAGTCTATTATCTAGGATCTCTATCTACTCGCTCTCTCTCTCTCCTCTCTCTCTCTCTCTCTCTCTCTCTCTCTCTGTCTCTCTCTGTCTCTCTCTGTCTCTCCTCAGGCGGGGGATGGACAGATCCTGAGCTGGCGGACTTTGAGCTGCTGGTTATCATGAGTGCAACGGTAGAGCCCACCTCGGCCACCTGCCAGGTGCGCACCTCCTACCTGCCTGACGAGATTCTGTGGGGGTATGAGTTCCCCCCTGTGGTCTCCCTCTCCCCCTCAGGGAAGTACGTGGCCGACTTCGCCTTCTTCGACAAAGTGGCCAAGACCAAGACCACGCCCCTCTTCAAAACATCCCGCCCACAGAGTTACCATGGCAACGGAGGAGGAGGAGGGGTGGGGGTGGAGGGGACTGACCCGGAGAAGATCCGATTGGAGCAGAGCTACAGGGAGAGAGGAGAGGAAGGGAGAGGGAGGGTCAGAGACAGTAGCCCTCTCAGTGTCCGCATCAGCAATGTCTGAGAGCCTACACACTGAGACGCATACACCAGACCTGGGTTCAAATACTATTGGAAATAATTTCAAATACTTTATCCATGCTTGATTGATCTTGCCTGGCTTAATGGAACCAATAGAATAGTCCGGAAACCGCAAACCCCGCCCATCTGGCACTTCAGTAAGACTAAACAAACTCAAAAGATATAAAATAGTATTTGAACCCAGGTCTGGCATACACTGGATTCTAAGCAGGGTCTGTTACAGTTTACTACAAATATTCAAATGATTAATTCATTGCTTGTTGTTCATTTACATGAAATTGGTATGTATAGAGAAATATAGAGGAGCAAAATGTGTAAGGGCTGGGGAGGGGGAAGCCCCTGGAAAGGCGTTGAATGTTTAGGGTGGATCGCAAATGGCACCCTATTCCCTTTATATCCCCTATGGGCCCTGGTCAAAAGTAGTGCACTATATAGGGAATAGGGTGCCATTTGGGATGCAGATTTTTACTGATGCTTCTCTGTCAACGAACTGGACATTCGTCCATAAATACACTGTAAAAACATACAAATATGTAACACTGTAGAATGTTTTATGATTTTGTTATTGGTACGTGCCAATGTACTATAGAATATGCTAGCTTCAAGCACTTTGGTGAAATGATAACACTACTGTATCAATACAAAAAGAATGTAGACCTGTTGTGGACTTTGACTGGATATGAAGAAGACAAGAGAAGATGATTATAAGGTGCTGTGTATAGTTGTCAGTATGCATTGTCTGCACAGATATACAGTGGGGAGAACAAGTATTTGATACACTGCCGATTTTGCAGGTTTTCCTAATTACAAAGCATGTAGAGGTCTGTAATTTTTATCATAGGTACACTTCAACTGTGAGAGGAATCTAAAACAAAAATCCAGAAAATCACATTGTATGATTTTTAAGTAATTAATTTGCATTTTATTACATGACATAAGTATTTGATACATCAGAAAAGCAGAACTTAATATTTGGTACAGAAACCTTTGTTTGCAATTACAGAGATCATACGTTTCCTGTAGGTCTTGACTAGGTTTGCACACACTGCAGCAGGGATTTTGGCCCACTCCTCCATACAGACCTTCTCCAGATCCTTCAGGTTTCGGGGCTGTCGTTGGGCAATACGGACTTTCAGCTCCCTCCAAAGATTTTCTATTGGGTTCAGGTCTAGAGACTGGCTAGGCCACTCCAGGACCTTGAGATGCTTCTTACGGAGCCACTCCTTAGTTGCCCTGGCTGTGTGTTTCGGGTCGTTGTCATGCTGGAAGACCCAGCCACGACCCATCTTCAATGCTCTTACTTGCAAATTAATTACTTAAAAATCATACAATGTGATTTTCTGGATTAGATTCAGTCTCTCACAGTTGAAGTGTACCTATGATAAAAATTACAGACCTCTACATGCTTTGTAAGTAGGAAAACCTGCAAAATCGTCAGTGTATCAAATACTTGTTCTCCCCACTGTATCTGTTATTGTTGATACAGAGGAATGCAGTTAGCACTTTATTAAGTACCTTTGCACCTTAGGAACATTTGTAGCACTTATTATTACTGGAATGTATATAGATTTGTGCTTTTAACCTGACTTAAAGCACTTTAACACTGAATGAAAGGTTTTAATTATGCTTTCTATTCATATTTTATGATTGTGATTTAACAATGACGGTTTTGTCGATTTTCCTCTCTTTATTCATGTTTGCCATGTGTTGTTTCTGTGGCTAGAAGCACATTGATAGAAAATAACATTTTTGTAAATAATCACAAACAGCCATTTAGAAGGTTCAACACTAGCAGGAGGATGCGTTCCAGGCCTATTCTAGACACCAGGGAGCCTTTTAATAGACTCAAAAAACACTCCATTCCCTATAGTGCACTACTTTTGACCTTTGACCAAGGCCCATAGGGCTCTGGTCAAAAGTAGTGCACTATATAGGGAATAGGGTGCCATTTGGGATGCACACCCAGTGACTCACATGAGTACAAACTTCTATTTCTTCCTCTGGTGGTAATCATTGTTTTATGTGTAAAGTAAGTTTTGGGGAAATTCGGGTGGGGTAATTTAAGTTGAGAGAGGTGTGTCAAGACCTAATCATGGCTTTAGATTAGAATATATTAATCCATGCCTTAATTTGGTTTACAGGAGAGAACGTATATGGACTGTTGTTATTGCTGAGATGTTTTGAGAGGAAGCAAATGTGATTATTGTGTGGTGTCCATGATTAGACTTGGGTTCAAATGCGATTGGAGTCATAAAAAAAAAAATTGCTGGCCTTGATTGAGCTTGCCTGGCGCAAAGGAACCAATCGAATAAGGGGCAGGTTTCCCAGACAAAGATGAAGCCTAGTCTTATGACTAAAAACCATTTTAAATGGAGAGATTCTCCATTGAAAGTGCTTCTTAGTCCATGTCAAGGCTTAATCTGTGTCTGGGAAACCGGTCCTAAAAGTAAGATTTTAAATAGTATTTGAAGCCAGGTCTGATCATGATTTTGCCATTAGGATCTCTCAGAGGCCTTGAAGCCTGAGTGCTTTGTTGATATGAACTATTAAGTGTGAGAGAGGTTTGATATTTTGTCTTCAACTTGTCTAGGTTTTCACTGGAAAACTTGAATGTTGTCTTCCAGATGTTTAACAATGTAAGCTAATTTCAAATAAAAATGATCGAAGAATAGAGTAGTATTATTTTATTTTTGTACATTCTTTAAATTATAACACTGAATCCCCTATTTGGGTGTCAGTCATTTGGTATGGGCTGCCCTACTGGAAATGTACATGTTGAAAATACTATAATTACACAACAATAAATCTTATTGTAGCACAAATTGACTTGTAACATGAAAATGCATTCTACCCCGTCTTTGCTTTCACAAACACCCGAGTTTGGAGTGCATTTTCCGTTCCTAAATACATTTAAAATGTATTGGAAACAGGTTATCAAGTAAGTTCATATGCCATGGAACATTTTAGAATTGCAAACATTTCAAAATGGTTTGAAACCAAAATTAAATAGATTTTTATACAGTGTACTTAGAGGAATAAAAGTGAATATTCACTACCGGTCAAAAGTTTTAGAACACATACTCATTCAAGGGTTTTTCTATATTTTTACTATTTTCTACATTATAGAATAATAGTGAAGACATCAAAACTATGAAATAACACATATGAAATCATGTAGAAACCAAAAAAGTGTTAAACAAATCTAAATATATTTCATATTTGAGATTCTTCAAATAGCCAAGTTCAAGTAACAGACACATCTCAGCATCAACTGTTCAGAGGAGACTGTGTGAATCAGGCCTTCATGGTCGAATTGCTGTCCTTTAGTCTGGAGTCCAAATTGGAGAGTTTTGGTTCCAACCGCCGTGTCTTTGTGAGACGCAGTGTGGGTGACCAGATGATCTCCACATGTGTATTTCCCACCGTAAAGCATGGAGGAGGAGGTGATATGGTGTGGGGGTGCTTTGCTGGTGACACTGTCTGTGATTTATTTAGAATTCAAGGCACACTTAATCAGCATGGCTATCACAGCATTCTGCAGCAATACGCCATCCCATGTGGTTTGGGTGTAGTGGGACTATCATTTGTTTTTCAACAGGACAATGACACAACACACCTCCACGCTGTGTAAGGGCTATTTTACCAAGAAGGAGAGTGATGGAGTGCTGCATCAGATGACCTGGCCTCCACAATCCCCCGACCACAACCAAATTGAGATGGTTTGGGATGAGTCGGACCGCAGAGTGAAGGAAAAGCAGCCAACGAGTGCTCATCATATGTGGGAACTCCTTCAAGACTGTTGGAAAAGCATTCCAGGTGAAGCTGTTTGAGAGAATGCCAAGAATGTGCAAAGCTTTCAACAAGGCAAAGGGTGGCTATTTGAAGAATCTGATTGATTTGTTTAACACTTTTTTGGTTACTACATGATTCCATATGTGTTATTTCATAGTTTTGATGTCTTCACAATTATTCTACAATGTAGAAAATAGTAAAAATAAAGAAAAACCCTTGAATGAGTAGGTGTTCTAAAACCTTTGACCGGTAGTGTATGCAAATTGGTCCATAACTCCACCTATACAACAACATAGGTCTAGGACTATACATCATTTATGCAGGGTTCATACAGGCATTGGCAAGTCAAATTCAAGGACTTTCAGGGACTTTTTCAAGCACTTAATTGTTCACGGACCTCAATTTTATACAATTGTATAATTTATGTATAGGGCCTAATATAGAACCCCCCTCCCCCCAAAAAACATGCAAAAAGTGTAAAGTAAAAAGTAGGCCATTTCCACTTTAAGAATCGTTTGGCTGCTGGTGTGAAAGAGGAGCGATTACGATAGAGGAAACCAAGTCTAGATTTAACCTTAGCCTGCAGCTTGGATATGTGCTGAGAGAAGGACAGTGTACAGTCTAGCTATACTCCCAAGTACTTGTAAGACTGTATCATCTGCATATAAATGGATGAGAGAGCTTCTTACTGACTGAGCTATGTTGTTGATGTAAATTAAGAAGTGTGTGGGGCCTAGGATCGAGCCTTGGGGTACTCCCTTGGTGACAGCCAGTGCCTGAGACAGCAGATATTCTGACTTTACACATTGCACTCTTTGAGAGAGGTAGTTAGCAAACCAGGCCAAAGACCCCTCAGAGACACCAATACTCCTTAGCTGGCCCACAATAATGGAATGGTCTACCGTATCAAAAGCTTTGGCCAAGTCAATAAAAATAGCAGCACAACATTGCTTAGAATCAAGGGCAATGGTGACATAATTTAGGACCTTTAAGGTTGCGGTGACACATCCATAACCTGAGCGGAAACCAGATTGCATACCAGAGAGAATACTATAGACATCAAGAAAGCCAGGCAGTTGATTATTGACAAGTTTTTCCAACACTTTTGATAAACAGGGCAAAATAGAAATTGGCCTATAACAGTTAGGATCAGCTTGATCTCCCCCTTTCAATAAAGGATGCACATTGGCTGCCTTCCAATCAATGGGAACCTCCCCAGAGAGGAGAGACAGGTTAAAAAGGTCAGAGATAGGCTTGGCGATGATAGGGAGAGCAACCTTAAAGAAGGAAGGGTTTAAGGAGCTCCTTTAGCACCTCAAACTCAGTGACTGCCTGCAGGGAGAAACTATGTAGCGGGGCAGGGGAAAAAGAGGGAGGAGCAGCGGGGCTAGTTGCATTAGAAGGGGTGGGAGATGAGGAAATGTTGGACGGGCAAGGAGGCATGGCTGAGTCAAATAGGAATCCTGACTTAATGAAGTGGTGATTAAAGAGCTCAGCCATGTGCTTCTTGTCAGTAAAAACCACATCATCAATATTAAGGGACATGGGCAGCTGTGAGGAGGAGGGTTTATTCTCCAGGTCTTTCACAGTTTTCCAGAACTTCTTGGGGTTAGACCCACTGAGTGAGAACTGCTCCTTAAAGTAACAAACTTTAGCCTTCCGGATAGCCTGAGTGCACTTATTTCTCATTTGCCTGAACGAGAGCCAGTCAGCCTGAGTATGCGTGTGCCAAGCCTTTCGCCAAATGGAATTCTTGAGGTGGAGTAACTCTGCCAGATCACGGTCGAACCAGGGGCTGAACCTGTTTTTAATTCTCATTTTCTTTATGGGGGCATGTTTGTTAACAATAACACTGAGCGTCTTCGACAGAGGGGATCAAGCTGATTCTATACCAATTTACAGAGGCCAGGTCATGAAGGAAGGCTTGCTCATTAAAGTTTTTTAGCAAGCGTCTATGACAAATCCGGACAGGTCGTTTAACTGAGCAGCCATTACGAACACAGGCTGTAAAACAGTGATCACTAAGGTCATTACAGAAAACACCAGACTGATACCTATCAGGATTATTTGTGAGGATAACATCAAGGAGAGTAGCCTTTTCTGGGTGTTTGGTGTCATACCTTGTGGGATTGGTAATAATCTGTGAATGATTTAGGGAATCCCATTGCTTTAGGACTTGGTCAGGTGGTTTAAGCATGTCCCAGTTTAGGTCACCTAGCAGGTCACCAATTCAGACGTAGTGTAAGGGGCACTTCAATTGAAGCGGCAGGAAACAAAACAAATCTCTCACGAAAAAAATTCTCAAAAATGAAATCACAGATAATTATAAGGGAGCAGGAGAACGTATAAATTGGCTATAATAATTACAAGGACTTTTTAAGCACCAAATTGAGGAAATGCTCTAGGTAGGCCTATTCTAGTAGGTTACTTGAATTTCTGAGCTCCAAATTCAAGTTCAAGTAGGCTGTTTCAAGCCCCTTGTATTGTTTAAAATTGCAGGTGTAACATGGACAACAAAATGTATTTGTCATGTTATTTCATTACCTGATCATATTGTGAATACGCCCAGTAGCTTACATAGTTTATGTAATTTGTTGTCATTATGTCCAGAATAATTAATAGGAAGAGCGTTGGGTGTTGCGCAATAGTCTATCCTACACAATTGCGCACAGTAGACTCGGTGTCCAATCCAAGGCACAAAAACATATGACAACATGAACTCATTACCTTGATGCTTTCTCTGTTAAATCTAATGAGACCTTGCTGTAAATTAAGCAGACAACAACAGATGATCAACCTCAATTCGCTAGTGATATTAGATCCAATGAGATCCACGCACAACTGTCTTCACCGGCATAAGGTACCAAAATATTCTGGACATTGCTCACAAACACCCTTTTCCCAGCACTTGGGCTGTTGTTGCATTGCATGCGCTATCAGAACAGCTGTTTGTCACTTGGCTGTCATTTGGAAAATTCCATCCTGGATCAGATGATGATGTGTGAAAATATCATGGAGTAATTAAACTGCTCCACACCAAATGCGCATCCAATAACTATTATGCATAATTATTGAAGAACCACATTAATGACAGTATCGATTTAGGTTTTAAGTATCAAGGTAAGGTGGCTATCCGGATAAAGCACTAAATATGCTTCAGTTAGTGCTAAATACGGCTGCTAGAATCTTGACTAGAACCAAAAAATGTGATCATATTACTCCAGTGCTAGCCTCTCTACTGGCTTCCTGTTAAGGGCTGATTTCAAGATTTTGCTGCTAACCTACAAAGCATTAGATGGACTTGCTCCTACCTATCTCTCCGATTTGGTCCTGCCGTACATAACTACACGTACATTAGGTCACAAGACCCAGGCCTCCTTGTCCCTAGAATTTCTAAGCAAACAGCTAGGCAGGGCTTTCTCCTATAGAGCTAAATTTTTATGGAATGGTCTGCCTATCCATGTGAGAGACACAGACTCGGCTCGTGCGGTGGAGGAGATCTTCGTATGCTATACTCAGCCTTGTCTCAGGCTAGTAAGTTGGTGGTCTGTTGATATCCCTCTAGTGGTGTGGGGGCTGTGCTTTGGCAAAGCGGGTGGGGTTATATCCTGCCTGGTTGGCCCTGTCCGGGGGTATCGTCGGACAGAACCACAGTGTCACCCGACCCTCCCTGTTTCAGCCTCCAGTATCTATGCTGCAATAGTCTATGTGCTGGGGGTCTAGGGTCAGTTTGTCCTATCTGGTGAAATTCTCCTGTCTTATCTGGTGTCCTGTGTGAACTTAAGTATGCTCCCTCTAATTCTCCCATCTCTCTCTCTGCCAAGAGTGTGCAAAACTGTCATCAAGGCAAAGGGTGGCTATTTGAAGAATCTCTGATTCCATATGTGTTATTTCATAGTTTTGATGTCTTCAGTATTATTCTACAATGTAGAAAATAGTAAAAATAAAGAAAAACCCTTGAATGAGTAGGTGTGTCCAAACTTTTGACTGGTAATGTATGTGCGTATGTGCGTACATGTGTACAATTCGTAGAATTGGTGTTTGTCCCAAAAAACATGTGTACGTACACGACAGGTGTGTGGGGGTGTGTGTCTAAAGACAGTGTGTGGGGCCAAACAGGCCCATACCCAGGCCCTATGGTCTTGGGGGGAGGAATAGCACTTAGGCACCGTGGGGATAGTGTGTGAGAGTAGATCTTACAAAACAAGGCAGGTCTTCATGGGAGTTTCTACAAAACTGTTTGTTCAAACCCTTTGGACTTGTGAGGAGATTCTGGATCGAATGAGATACAAAAACAAGGAAATAAGATACTGTGATTCCTCAGACCACTTGGTTGAGCAAACTTGGTTCAATCTTCTTTGGTTATTCTTCAGTTACAGAAGAGTTACAGAACAGTTACATACTCTTGTCAAGAAGGTACTTATACATACAGTATACTTGATACTACTACTACTATTACTGTGACATATTGGGTAGTGTTGTGCTACTATAGCTTGATTTTACAATGTAAGTGTACGTAATCTGCCTTATCAATAGTGGGAGAGATACAAGTAATATCTAACAGTTCCACAACAAAAACCTAATACACACAAATCTAAGTAAAGGAATGGAATAAGAATATATAAATATATGGATGAGCAATGTCATTATCAGAGTGGCATAGGCTAAGATGCAATAGATAGTATAGAATACAGTATATACATATGAGATGGGTAATGCAAGATATGTAAACATTATTAAAGTGGCATTATTAAAGTGACTAGTGTTCCATTTATTAAAGTGGCCAGTGATTTTCAAGGCTGTATGTAGGCAGCAGCCTCTCTGTGCTAGTGATGGCTGTTTAACAGTCTGATGGCCATGAGATAGAAGCTGTTTTTCAGTCTCTCGGTCCCAGCTTTGATGCACCTGTACTGACCTCGCCTTCTGGATGATAGCGGGGTGAACAGGCAGTGACCCGGGTGGTAGTTGTCCTTGATTATCTTTTTGGCCTTCCTGTGACAGTTTGCCCCAGGTGATGCGTTCGGCAGACCGCACCACCCTCTGGAGAGCCCTGCGGTTGTGGGCGGTGCAGTTGCCATACCAGGCGGTGATACAGCCCGACAGGATGCTCTCAATTGTGCATCTGTAAAAGTTTTTGAGCGTTTTAGGTGACAGGCCAAATTTCTTCAGCCTCCTGAGGTTGAAGAGACGCTGTTGCGACTTCTTCACCACACTGTCTATGTGGGTGGACCATTTCAGTTTGTCAGTGATATGTACGCTGAGGAACTTAAAACTTTCCACCTTCTCCACTGCTGTCCCGTCAATGTGGATAGGGGGGTACTCCCTCTGCTGTTTCCTGAAGTCCACGATAATCTCCTTTGTTTTTTTTACGTTGAGTGAGAGATTATTTCCTGACACCACACTCCGAGAGCCATCACCTCCTCGCTGTTGGCTGTCTCATCGTTGTTGGTAATCAAGCCTACTAATGTTGTGTCGTCTGCAAACTTGATGATTGAGCTGGAGGCAAGCATGGCTACGCAGTCATGGGTGAACAGGGAGTACAGGAGGGGGCTGAGCACACACCCTTGTGGAGCCCCAGTGTTGAGGATCAGCGAAGTGGAGATGTTGTTTCCTACCTTCACCACCAGGGGGCGGCCCGTCAGGAAGTCCAGAACCCAATTGCACAGGGAGGGGTTGAGACCCAGGGCCTCAAGCTTGATGATGAGCTTGGAGGGTACTATGGTGTTGAATGTTGAGCTATAGTCAATGAACAGCATTCTTACATAGGTATTCCTCTTGTCCAGATGGGATAGGGCAGTGTGCAGTGTGATGGCGATTGCATCGTCTGTGGACCTATTCGGGCGGTATGCAAATTGAAGTGGGTCTAGGGTGACAGGTAAGGTGGAGGTCATATGATCCTTGACTAGTCTCTCAAAGCACTTCATGATGACAGAAGTGAGTGCTACGGGGCGATAGTAATTTAGTTCAGTTACCTTTGCATTCTTGGGTACAGGAACAATGGTGGCCATCTTGAAGCATGTGGGGACAGCAGACTGGGATAGGGCGAGATTGAATATGTCAGTAAACACACCAGCCAGCTGGTCTGCGCATGCTCTGAGGACTCAATTAGGAAAGCCATCTGGGCCAGCAGCCTTGCGAGGGTTAACGCGTTTAAATGTCTTACTCACGTCGGCCACGGAGAAGGAGAGCCCACAGTCCTTGGTAGCTGGCCGCGTCGTTGGCACTGTGTTAACCTCAAAGCAGGCAAATAACTTGTTTATCTTGTCTGGCAGCAAGATGTCAGTGTCCGCAACGTGAATGGTTTTCTTATTGTAGTCCGTGATTGTCTGTAAACCCTGCCACATACGTCTCGTGTCTGAGCCATTGAATTACGACTCCACTTTGTCTCGATATTGACGTTTTGCCTGTTTGATTGCCTTGCGGAGGGAAAGACCACTCTGTTTGGATTCTGCCATATTTCCCATCAACTTGCCATGGTTCATGCTTTCAATTTTTCGCGAATGCCGCCATCTATCCACGGTTTCTGGTTAGGGTAGGTTTTAATAGTCACAGTGGGTACAACATCTCCTATACACTTCCTTATAAACCCACTCACCTAATCAGCATATACATCTATATTATTCTCAGAGGCTACCCGGAACATCCCAGTCCGCGTGATCAAAACAATCTTGAAGCGTGGATTCCAATTGGTCCGACCAGCGTTGAATAGTCTTAAGCACGGGGGATGTGTTAGATACCAAGTTAGTTGGTTTATGGTTTAGATACTTGGTAGTTTAGATACTTGCTCCTCAGGCTGAAATAGTATAATCTTATTCCAGTATGTGTTAGACTACCCAGTCTGGGTTATGTAGAGTGACACGGCTGTGTCTTGTCTGTGCATTGTACGTTTTAGCATGTCTCTGTCTCCAGTAATTTGATTATTGAAAGCTTCATTTTCTTTTGCCGAGTGTGTATACACTTGTCCTGTTTGTGTGTATACTGTTCTCTGAAAGTAAATATAAATAAAAAACTGTGCCTGTGAAAGCCTCTGAAAGTCTATAAATTGCATTCTACAGAAAGATTTAGGTTGAATTGCTATTTATCAATATGAACATGCTATATATGATTTTCTTCAATTACAGGTAAACAAACTGGATGATGTGATTAATAACGTATAATGATCTCCATATAGGTACAATTTGTACAGTCTTGGTATTTGTAATATGATATAGATTTTGGTATTCATCTTTTCTAAGACAATGTATTCATATTTAGTATTTACAGTACATAACTTTGCATTTATTATCATTAGCTTTCACTGCCACCTGACTCTGATATTGATATTCACATTCACCAGCTTTTCATTTGATTTTAAAAAGATTTTAGATTTTTAAAAAATTGATGGAAACTGGCGAAATGTGGTAAAGAAAATAAAAACTAAAATCCCCTTGAACCTCTCACACACGAGAACATGTGGTGGTAGTAAAACATACAAAATGAGCTTTGATGAGATCTTTGTAAAATCTTCTCAAACTCATTGTAATAATACAATGTTGAAATAATACAAAAACAAGTTCTCACCTGTAACTATTCCCCAGGTCATTGCTATAAATGAGAATGTGTTCTCAGTCAATATACCTTGTAAAATATGTATGTATGCAGTTGAAGTCAGATGTTTACATACACCTTAAACAAATACATTTAAACTCAGTTTTTCACAATTCCTGACATTTAATCTGAGTAAAAATTCCCTGTATTAAGTTCAATTAGGATCACCACTTTATTTTAAGAATGTGAAATGTCAGAATAATAGTAGAGAGAATGATTTATTTCAGCTTTTATTTCTTTCATCACATTCCCAGTGGGTCAGAAGTTTACATACACTCAATTAGTATTTGGTAGCATTGCCTTTAAATTGTTTAACTTGGGTCAAACGTTTCGGGTAGATTTCCACAAGCTTCCCACAATAAGTTGGGTGAATTTTGGCCCATTCCTCCTGACAGAGCTGGTCTAACTGAATCAGGTTTGTAGGCGTGCTTGCACACGCTTTTTCAGTTCTGCCCACAACGTTTCTTTAGGATTGAGGTAAGGGCTTTGTGATGGCCACTCCAATACCTTGACTTTGTTGTCCTTAAGCCATTTTGGCACAACTTTGGAAGTATGCTTGGGGTCATTGTCCATTTGGAAGACCCATTTGCGACCAAGCTTTAACTTCCTGACTGATGTCTTGAGATGTTGCTTCAATATATCCACATAATTTTCCTTCATCATGATGCCATCTATTTTGTGAAGTGCACCAGTCCCTCCTGCAGCAAAGCACCCCCACAGCATGATGCTGCCACCCCCATGCTTCACGGTTGGGATGGTGTTCTTCGGCTTGCAAGCCACCCCCTTTTTCCTCCAAACATAACGATGGTCATTATGGGCAAACAGTTATATTTTTGTTTCATCAGACCAGAGGACATTTATCCAAAAAGTACGATCTTTGTCCCCATGTGCAGTTGCAAACCGTAGTCTGGCTTTTTTATGGCGGTTTTGGAGCAGTGGGTTCTTCCTTGCAGAGCGGCCTTTCAGGTTATGTCGATATAGGACTTGTTTTACTGTGGATATAGATACTTTTGTACCTGTTTCCTCCAGCATCTTCACAAGGTCCTTTGCTGTTGTTCTGGAATTGATTTGCACTTTTCGCAGGAAAGTACGTTCATCTCTAGGAGACAGAACGCGTCTCCTTCCTGAGCGGTATGACGGCTGTGTGGTCCCATGGTGTTTATACTTGCGTACAGATGAACGCGGTACCTTGGCGTTTGGAAATTGCTCCCAAGGATGAACCAGACTTGTGGAGGTCTACATTTTTTTTCTGATGTCTTGGCTGATTTCTTTTGATTTTCCCATGATGTCAAGCAAAGAGGCACTGAGTTTGAAGGTAGGCCTTGAAATACATCCACAGGTACACCTCCAATTGCCTCAAATGATGTCAATTAGCCTATCAGAAGCTTCTAAAGTCATGACATCATTTTCTGGAATTTTCCAAGCTATTTAAAAGGCACAGTCAACTTAGTGTATGTAAACTTCTGACCCACTGGAATTGTGATACAGTGAATTATAAGTGAAATAATCTGTCTGTAAACAATTGTTGGAAAAATTACTTGTGTCATGCACAAAGTAGATGTCCTAACTGACTTGCCAAAACGATAGTTTGTTAACAAGAAATTTGTGGAGTGGTTGAAAAACACGTTTTAATGACTCCACCTAAGTGTATGTTAACTTCCGACTTCAACTGTATATATACACTACCAGTCAAAAGTTTGGACATACCTACTCCTTCAAGGGTTTTTATTTATTTTTACAATTTTCTACATTGCAGAATAATAGTGAAGACATCAAAAATATGAAATAACACATATGGAATCATGTAGTAACCAAACAAGTGTCAACCTCTACGGGATCGGTGTCCCGTATATGTTGTAAGTAACAGCAAACTTTCCAGGACATAGACATGTCTTATGTGGGCAGAAAGCTTAAATTATTGTTAATATAACTGCACTGTCCAATTTACAGTAGCTATTACAGTAATAAAATACCATGCTATTGTTTGAGGAGAGTGCACAACAACAAAAAACTTAGCACATCAACTGGTTTGATACATTCACCTCTGAAGGTAAACAATGTACTTACATTCAGTAATCTTGCTCTGATTTGTCATCCTAAGGGTCCCAGAGATAAAATGTAGCATAGTTTTGTTTGATAAAATCCATTTTTATATTCAAATATAGGAACTGGGTTCTACAGTTTAAACCCCTGCTGTCTCTGGCTCCACACCCACCCTGCCCGGCCATCTAAATGTGTGAAAGTTAGTGTATAAGCTAATGATCCATCATGTATGACAGTCCTGGGAGTGTGTAAACTTACATTTTGTATTATCATATCATTTTTGTATGTTCTCTATAGTTATGTACTTGAAAATGTATCAATTGACCAATTCGGCACATTTGGGCAGACTTGATACAAAATAGTCCAGTATTGCAACGCTTCACTGGATTAATCTAAAACTTTGCACACACATCTTGTGGCCAAATTCTAAATTGCGCCTAAACTGCAATATTATATTGTGGCCTTTCTCTTCATTTCAAAGATGATGGAACAAAAAACATTATATTTTTTGTTTGTATTATCTTTTACCAGATCTAATGTGTTATATTCTCCTACATTAATTTCACATTTCCACAAACTTCAAATGGTATCAAGAATATGCATATCCTTGCTTCAGGTCCTGAGCTACAGGCAGTTAGATTTGGGTGTGTCATTTTAGGCGAAAATTGAAAAAAAGTGTCCGATCCTTAAGAGGTTAAACAAATCAAAATATATTTTATATTTGAGATTCTTCAAATAGCCACCCTTTGCCTTGATGACAGCTTTGCACACTTGGCATTCTCTCAACCAGCTTCACCTGGAATGCTTTTCCAACAGTCTTGAAGGAGTTCCCACATATGCTGAGCACTTGTTGACTGCTTTTCCTTCACTCTGCGGTCCGACTCATCGCAAACCATCTCAATTTGGTTGAGGTCGGGGGATTGTGGAGGCCAGGTCATCTGATGCAGCACTCCATCACTCTCCTTCTTGGTAAAATAGCCCTTACACAGCCTGGAGGTGTGTTGGGTCATTGTCCTGTTGAAAAACAAATTATAGTCCCAGTAAGCCCAAACCAGATGGGATGGCGTGTCGCTGCAGAATGCTTTGGTTGGTTAAGTGTAAATAAATCACAGACAGTGTCACCAGCAAAGCACCCCCACACCATAACACCTCCTCCTCCATACTTTACGGTGGGATATACATATGCGGAGATCATCCGTTCACCCACACCGCATCTCACAAAGACACGATGGTTGGAATCAGAAATTGCAAATTTGGACTCCAGACCAAAGGACATATTTCCACTGGTCTAATGTCCATGTTTCTTGGCCCAAGCAAGTCTCTTCTTATTATTGGTGTCCTTTAGTAGTGGTTTCTTTGCATCAATTCGACCATGAAGGCCTGATTCACACGACCTCCTCTGAACAGTTGATGTTGAGATGTGTCTGTTACTTAAACTCTGTGAAGCATTTATTTGGGCTGCAATTTCTGAGGCTGGTAACTCTAATGACCTTATCCTCTGCAGCAGAGGTAACTCTGGGTCTTCCATTCCTGTGGCGGTCCTCATGAGAGCCAGTTTCATCATAGCGCTTGATGGTTTATTCGACTGCACTTGAAGAAACTTTAAAAGTTCTTAAAATGTCTGTATTCACTGACCTTCATGTCTTAAAGTAATGATGGACTGTCGATTCTCTTTGCTTATTTGAGCTGTTCTTGTCATAATATGGACCAAATAGAGCTATCTTCTGTATACCCCCATACCGTATAACAACACAACTGATTGGCTCAAACGCATTAAGAAGGAAATAAATTCCACAAATTAACTTTTAAGAAGGCACACCTGTTAATTGAAATGCATTCCAGGTGACTACCTCATTAAGCTGGTTGAGAGAATGCCAAGAGTGTGCAAAGCTGTCATCAAGGCAAAGGGTAGCTATTTGAAGAATCTCAAATATAAAATATATTTTTATTTGTTTAACACTTTTTGGTTACTACAGTGAGGGAAAAAAGTATTTGACACTGTAAGGATATGAACTGCTCCTATGTAGAAGTATTGTGTCAAAGGGTCCACAGTGCATCACATGGTCTGTGATGTCCCTCCCTCCTCTCAAGGGGCCAGTGTAGGGTGATGTTTTCCTTGGACACTGATCTTGGGTCAGTTGTGCATTTCCCCCACTAACGGTTAAGGTTAGGATTTGGGGATGGGAAGCTGATCCTAGATCTGTACCTAGGTGAAACTTGGTACTAGGAGAAGAAGCTACTGTGTCTTTCACTCTCAATCCAGCAACTAACTAGCTACTGTCAACAGATAAACAGCTTAACAGTAACTAACAGTTGACTGCCGTGCTTGGCCGAATGGGTTCTCCACCACTTCCATCTTCAGAAATGAAACATTTTCTTCTGATTTTCTGTGCTGCCTCACTGGCTGTCATCCTGGAACCAGGTACAGTAACAATTCAAATGTAATTTATTTTCTTACAGTAGTATCACATTTTATATCTTCTTAGATTGTGTTACAACATGAAACCTGTAGTTCGCTCTTATAGTA